AAGTATCACACAATCATCCATGTATACGAGTATGTACTATGACGACAATCTATTAATATAACTAAAAGAAGCCTTGAAAAGGAAAGGATTATACCTACGATGAACTACCCAAGCTATTAGCCCTTTATTCGCTTTCATCATCATCATCATGATCATTTTAGCCATAAGACGTCCATAGATTATGCCCTTAAAGTTTGATCACTACAAGCCCGGACACATTGTATAAGTGGACTGATGTCTGGCATGAAATATCAAACGCCGAGTATGAGTGACTTTAACCCACATTGTGTGATGTGAAGATATAAAAAATGTTCTTGCAATTATTAATTTCGATGTATCCTTTATTCTCAAATAAATATGTATGAACTTAAGAATAAGTCTTATAAATCTATGGTTAATTAATAATTATAGATTTTTTTATAATTATACCTAGGTGACATGCAACGTTTACCACTGTGCGGTGGGACTATGGTTAAAATAAATTACCCGTAGACCCACTGGCAAAAACTGTTCAGAACGGTGGGACAACGGGTAAAAAAAATTACCCGTGGACCCACCAGGGGGACATGTTGGGGGTCCACGGGTAAACGCCGCCCATACAAAAAGCACCGGTTATCGTTATAGTTATGATCAAAGTTAGGTGGTGCAACTCAGCCTTAGTCATCGAAAACTATCATCATCAATCTATTCCAGACTCAAATATTTTTTCCTGTTTGAGTCTAGCTTATGTAGTTTCGATTGCCACTTTTTCTAGCTTCGCCAGCAGAGAGCTTTGGCGTTAGTTCAGTTCGCCCATGTAGGGCTTCGGAAGCAATTGATTACGGATAGGTATTAAGGTATCAGTTTCTATTGTTTTACATGCTTTCTCTTCTTGTATTTCTACATTGTGAACTTTAAAACCATTAGAATAATTAAGGTCGGTTTTAATTTCTTTTACCTACAAAAATGGGTTATTTTAAATCCCTGTAAAGATTTTCGAACTTTTCATTCCAAGATAAGTACCTACTTAAAAATGTCTACAATTCCCCCTTAACTCTATCGTTTTGTTTGTTGGAATAAGTCAATAACCTTGTTGGTGTTCAAATAAATAAATAAATAAATAACTCTTGGGTCTAGGTATGGATAAGTACAAGTAATTTTATGGATTCACTATGCTCAAAATACCTACATCGAATTGTTTTATTTTGTCGTGAAATATTTTAAGACACTTTATAAATGCTAATATGCAATTAAATGCAATAGCTATAGTTTCAAATGCTCCTAGTGTCCGGCTGTTTATAGTCCTTTGTTTCTAATTTTCATAATTATATTCAAACAGAAAGCTGCATTAGATGCGGATTTGGGACAAAGGATTTAGTTAGGGTTTAGTCAAATTATCTTAAAGTTGAACTAAATAACGATACCTTAAATATTTACCATTGTTTTTCATAGTTAAGTAGGATTTCCTTTGAGATCAATTTTAATTTAAACATCGAATGCACCATTAAAATACGCTTGAAGTCAGTGCTGTGACTGGAGTTTCTAACTCCACACAATCAAAGAAGAAAAACTAAACTAATTTTCGATAAGGAAAACTCCCTCGATTGAGCATAACGGGTCGTTAGAGATTGTTACCGTGATTATGATCAGTGTACCTACCATGAGTTTACATTAGGTGTGCTCGCTAGCGAGTACGTCAAAAATCTCTATGAAGATTTTGTTTCTTGAAAGTAGCCGCTAGGGGCGCTGCACAATATGTCATACAATTAAATGTCATTTTTTTACGCAGTCGCTATCGAGCACACCTAACGTAAACTCATGGTAAGCACACAGTAGATATATTTAACCTCAGGCGAACATTACTTATATTTTCATCGGTGAGGTAATACATGAAAGTGTGTGGGATGCTGCCACTGACAGTGACGTCACCGTTAAAGCTCCGATGTCGAGGTTACTTTGACGCGTGGGCGGCGATAACAATAGAAGTGGTCTACTCGCATTATTAAGATTGATACTGTTGCTACTTGGTAACGATGCTTAGTTAGTTTGGTGTTCTAGATAAGGGATGAATTCCACCTCTCATTTTTAATGTTACAACTTCTGTGCAGCCAGAATGTAGTTACAACTTGACGACCAATAAAAACACATGATGTTCAAAGGACATTTTTTCCTTGCATTGCTTCAGAAACGTACTAGACATAAGGGCCTATTTCCAACTCTCGTTTTTCCGGTTATAACTTTATAACTTCTGTGTAGCAAGAATGTACAAGACTTGTACTAAAAATTCATGAAGTAAAAGGAAATAATATAACTATTTCATTGCATTCTTTCACAAACATAGGTTACCAAAACCCATAACTATAGTGACATATTTATTCAACTTTATTAGACAGCCACAAACATAATTATTTTGATTGAGAGATAGTGAGATATTAAGGTATTAAGTGGGCTGGCACTCATGCTTTTTTCCGAGTTTGATGAAGTACATATTTGTTGCAAAGATTGAAATTTTTCATAATCTACAAACCATTTACTTACTCCCAGATCAGATAAAACATTACCGATCTTCGATATTATTTTGTATATTTAACGGCATTAATATTTATTTATTCCAAGAGTCGGTTACCTAACCCGAGGATTTAGTATAATTCGTAAAAAGGTCTGCTGAAATCCTCCAACCTCCTTAAAAACTGAGCTTTCGTTTTTATTTAAATATGAATCAAGTTTTTAGGTAACCGTATTGGGGCCGGTGTTTAATACAAAAAGGTCCAGAACAAAGAGATTCATTAATAGTGAATAGGTACATTGTCCTGTTAACAAAAGCCTGAAGAATTGAACCTCCCTTTGAAGATGCTGACTAAATATTTCCGCGAAAAATCATTTCGGCATAAATTATTACTTTGTTGAGTTCTTATTACCAACTTAGCCTGATATTCTCAAAAAACAATTTAAAAAAAACTTTTTTTCTAAACGATTTCGTATCTAAAGGTATAATGGATTTGTGGTTACGCCTCGTCGAGAGCAATTTATTAAACCACTATATGACGACAGACGACTGCACTTATAAAAAAACAATTTAAATAAGGTAAAGCGGGGTGTGGTTTTTCGGAAAAATTGTAATTCAATATTATAACAATGCTAATGGTTTAATAATTGCATGAATTTCCATAATATCTTCACTGGAAAAAACATCAGGCTGATTCCACTGTAAGATAGGCATCAAATCGATTTGTATAATTTACTTCGGCGTACACTCAGAAAATTAACATTCACTATAACCACTCGATTTCACAGTAAAGTACAATGTAAAGCTTTGACAGCGTTTACAGTAAATAATGCTTTTCTGAGCTAACAGTTGAAACTTGTAAAAAAATAACTAAAAATGTAGTGAATTAATGGAACATGATCCGTCTTATCATTGCAGAAAAAACAGAATTTAATCTTAATATTTTAGACATTTCAATTTACCTAATTTCATTAGGGTTTCGTAGTATACTCGTAGCTACTGTATTCGTAGTGCTACGAGCTACGTAGCTTTATTGTAGTCACATCGAGCTACGAGATTTTCGTAGTTATTGCTACGACATTCTTATTTAACTCCGCTCGGGTCGATGTTTTTGGATTTAATCAAATGCTGTTAGGTTTTTCTTTAACTACACTGTTTTACTGCTGTTTTTATTTGACTACAGAAAAAATATAGGTATATTTTATATTAGGTAGGTACATACTTTTTTTAACATAGAGTTTAATTTAATGTAAAATAATTTTGGACTTTTGGATGTCGTCAGAAACTTGATAATTCTGAGTCTTAGACATTTTGGTGCTCATATAAGATACCAGTCTAGGCAGTATGCCAGGATGCGTAGGTTATAGATCCCGTTCCGAAATAGACGGGATGTCGAAAATAGGCCAGGGACCAAAAATGGCACATCAATATACGCCGTCCTACTTGGCTGTCTGTGCCGAAATAGTTACAGCTTTTCTCATTTGAAAGAAGCTGAAATAATTTTGTTTTTACGAAATTATACTAAATGGCTACGTATGAGATAAATTTGACATAGTAATAATATAAAGTTAGTTATAGATGCTAGCTACCTATAAACTATGGTGTACTTAATCATAATCTACAATACTGCCATAATCATAAGTGCCACTTGTGGTCTAAACAGAATAAATATTTCTGATTTTGATTTTGATTTTGGCGTCAAAAGTCTAAAAATATTTTGGCTTGAGCTTCTTCAACTAAATAAAACGTTTTCATATATTTTAATCTTTTAGACGTGGTTAAATAGTTCAAAAAAGTTTCATTTCCCATCCTTTGCGATTGAAAAATCAGTAGGGTAATTCAAGTGNTTTGTGCTAACATTTAGTTACAATTAAGACGAACAATTCGCCTTGAAAACTTTTTTTTTTTTTTATCCACAACGAGGAAGCTCTTGGCCTGTATCTTTTACTTTTCTAAGCGAAGTACAGATTTATTGGTACGACCAAACGGGCTAGTGTCGCTGAGCGATTCTAGGTGCCACTTGTTAGCAACGAAAGGATTAACGCTGATTTGGCTATCAAATTACACCTGAGGAACGCGGGGAGTCGTACGGGATAACAAAAAGATATTCCTTGTGGCATTCGAACGTTGGCCGCGAGATGGAACGCCATGACCCGAGAGCCTCCTAAATATCCGTGACCCGTGTGTGTTGTGTACCGATGATTGATGGCTTGATTTGGTAAATTATGGTATTGGTGAATAAGTTGGTTTCAGACTATTTGTATTTAATACCCAATTTGTGAGTGAGTATGTGTATGAATCTAACATATCAGAAGTGAGCCCGACGCCCATTGGTATGTAAATTATTTATTTTTATTATTATTGATCAAGTTGCATGAAAAAACAAGTGAGTTTTCTGGAAGTAGCCGCTCAATCAATAGTTGACTGGCAGAAAATAACATTAAGTCCTTATTTTATGCACTTTTATTTTGTGCGATAAAGTTAACAAAAAATGAATGGAAAATACAGTGANTTTTTATGGTTTTTCAGCACGCAAAGACAGACCAGCATCCATAACATAATTGACACCGGTTATGCCAGCAGCTTTCTCGCTTGCTAAGAACGCTACAGTAGAAGCCACCTCTTCAGGTGTTACAATACGCTTAAGAGGTGTTATTTTCTCACAATATTTAAAAAACGCATCACTTTCAGCTTGAGATCTTCCAAAGTTTTTAAGTAAATTTGTCCTAGTAGAACCAGGCAAGACTGCGTTCACTCTTACTCCTTCGGGGGCTAGTTCTAAAGCCGCTGACTTCGTGAAGTATGAAAGTCCAGCTTTCACAGTATTATACATTAGTGTATTGCCTGCATGTATATTTCCTAAAACGCTAGAAATGTTGACGATATTTCCTTTACTTTCAGCCAAGATAGGCGCAACAGTAGATGTCATTGCAACTATAGCTCTTAAATTGATAGATACTATAGCATCGTAACTATCCATGAGACCAGAATCTAGGATTCCTCCAGATCTGCATATTCCAGCACAATTGACAACAACGTCGATTTTCCCGTATTGCTTTTTAGTTATTTCTACAACATTCTGGACGTCTTCAAGTTTGGTTAAGTCTGCCGTTATTCTGAACACCTTCGCCTTGCTTACTTTTTCACAGTTATCAGCAGATTTGTTCAAAGATTTTGAATCAACATCCACTAATGAAAGTCTTGCTGACAATTTCGCAAAATGCAGTGCAATGGCTTCTCCCAATCCAGATCCAGCACCAGTTACTAGAACCACTTGATTTAAAAAACTCATTTTGCGCTAATACGACAGCCGTTATGAAGGAGCAATCAATAGACTGATAAGGTTTCGTAATTTACTACATTTTATATCGTTATCACTTACCATCATTCTTCATAATATCTGTATTACTTTATCACTTAAATGATTTGATTAGTCAACAATAACATTATTTTGCTTACTATCATATTAGTTTAAGGTTCTGTTTGCTGATGCTTCGGATGGGTTAGAATGATTGCAATATCAGCCGGGCACAGCGAAGCATTATCTACTGTTGTGCTAACTTTTAGTCATAGCGCGAGCGTTAATGGTTTTAAGAACTATGCTGCCACGAGAAGGTACATAGTAGATATCATTAAAATATATGTAGTAGATAACAACCATCAACATTACTGACAGCAATCTACATTTTGACTTGTTAACAGCCGTACAGTAAATGTTTGAATGTTAAATAATTTAATGATACAAAACGATATCAATTTTCTCAGTGGTTCGCTATTATGTAATCAAAAACAACTTTGGTATTAATCATTCAGACGTCACGATAGAAATACAAACAACGTTTTAAACATCATAATTTGCCCGAAGGGTAAACTCAGGGAGGGTGATTAAAATGGAAAAATACAGAGCAATTACGGACCGCAACGTTCGAGAGCTTGATATAACGCGATATGGTCTAATTTCAATGACATTAAATGCTCTCACAAAAACGATCTTGTAGTATTAAAAATTGTGTGTTATCAGCATTAAGAAGGACCCTTGAAAAGCTCAAAACATACTATAAACACAGGAAATACTTATTATTTCACACAATAAAGGCACTACAGCGAGTAAGTAGATTTTATTGGTGGGAACCAGTCTTAAGTGCGTTGGAGTACTTGAAATCAAGTATATGATGATAACTTGACAGCGCAAAAAATCCTCCTATTTCACGGTAGAATTGGTAAAAAAATGCCGGCAATCCGTAAAAGGAATTCCGCAGCCAATACCGGTCGCATGTACGAAATCGAGGAGCATTCTTTTCAATCCTTTGTCGCAGCCATTTGATTAAAGTAAAGGAGGCCGCAATCACATGCGAAAGCTTTGCGCCTTGGCGGAAGTATCGCGTTTACAAACGGAGCACCGACTGCATTGTGGGGTGAGAAGACAAGCCACGAGAAGAAGGCACTCCTAGCCGAGGCAATCGGGGCCGGATACTGTGGCCCGATGCTCACTTGTTCACGAATCGCGACTCGACACTCGACACCGCGCCGGCTAAATTGAAAACGGCGACACTGATACCTTCAGGTGAATAAAGAGGCAGTCACCGAACGCCTTTAGCGTGTTCACATGTGGGAATTGACAATTGTAACTTAATATCAAAATTGAACCATACTAGCAGAGCGACACCTCTACAAAATGGAAGGTGTGACGGCCACGCCCATATAGTTAAATTCACAATATAGCATTAGCTACTATCGTCGGGTCCTTTGAAGTATGAGACCGGAATCATGAGAATAAGAAAAAAACTATCTTCAAATAATAAATTAAATTCTAAGTAAAACACGTCTCTCCTCGGCACGAAGTGATAGCGATATCGTGATGCATTTTATATGATGCGCAAAGAGATAAGAGGCGATATTAAATACAATGTATCATTTTATTGAAACATAAATCGCGATGAACTCGAAAAACCACTTAAAAGTTACAGGCCATTATGCTAAACCCACGCTCACTAAAATCGGAAAAAATATTTCGCGCAAAAAGTCAACAAGACTAAGCGGTAATTCATCGCGGAACAGCGTTCGGATCATTAACGAACTGAGGATATACGATCACGTGTGAGAAGGTCCGGCGACAGGGGCGCGGGGCTAGGGTTGCCAGGTCCAAACAGAAAAGCCGGACTCCGTGCTTCATTTGGCCGGACATTTTACCCTAAAAGCCGGACATGTGAGCGGGGGGGGGGGGGTTGCAATTAGTGTTAATTTGTAAAACTTTCTCACCATCACAACTCAAATTTTACAGGGTACAATGTGGTACAATTTACACCTCACAAATGCTAATAATACGAATGAAGTCTTTTCAGTCAGTCACTATCATCATCGGTTGCTAACCACATCCTGATGCGTGTGGCTCGACTTCCGCCTAGCGCGGCAGCCCAATAAAAAGCCTAACAAAAGCCGGACAGGCCGGACAAGACCGTAAAAAGCCAAACATGTCCGGCTAAAGCCGGACGCCTGGCAACCCTACGCGGGGCAGGCCCATCAGCGATGCAAGTAATTAAATCCTTAAACGAGTGTATAACAAGAATGTGTTTTTAAGCGCAACGAAGCTCGGAGCCAGCCGCGACACTTATTTACGATGAGTTTTCGCGGCGGGGGACACAACGCCTAATTTCTCGGCGCAACGCGGTCTCGCGCGATTTATTTAAAATGAAATTCTTTTGTCACGCGCCCCGCTGGGAGACAATCGATAATGCGCCGAGGACCTAGATTGGAACAGCGAGCGCTGATTAAGACCCGGACACCTTGCGATCCAAGGAGTTGAGATAATTGTTATTGTTAATTCCCGCTAATGAATAAAATTACCGATTGATTTATGAACTTACAAAACATTGGATATATTTTGTTTTAATTAACTACTTAAAACAAACGTACCTAATTTTTCGGAAATGGCATAATATTTCGTTTTAAATTTGTCGCTTGTCCCGCTTCATCTAAATCAATTGGAAAATTTCACCCCGAACAAATCGCAATCAACGAACAAGTCTTCATAAAAACTTCAATTAGGAAACTCGGAGCAATAAATTCGTAACAATACGCCCTGTCCCTTTCGTTAGCCAGTTTTGTAAATGGCTGACACGTAAATACACTTAAACAGTGTTGCCACCACCTCATTTGGATTTCATATGAAGTGTTTCTCGGTTTTAATTTGCTCTCAAGTTTCAATCGTTAATATCTAAATGAGGTTTGTCACCTCGGTATATTGTGATTACCAAATTATACAATAAAATGCAAATTTATTTAATACAAAACTTATTTAGTTACTCATAGTGTTTTATTATTGATGTAATAAGCCCAACCTCTATTATAATAAGCATTACCTTTTTATTTAAGAGATGTATTTACGCAATTTGTGTAAATAATGTTGATTGATGTTTCTGGGCGGGCTGCGCCCTTCTGCTAAACTGGCACCCGCAGAATACCAGTGGTCGTGACGTGCTCTCTGCCGTCACAGCTTATACTGAGCAGATGCCATTTTGGTGCGTGTACTCTGTTTTTAGTGTTTAAGTTGTTATTTATTTGTAACGCTTTTAATACTCGCATCAAATAAATACTTTCTTTCTTTCTTTCACATAATTAACGATACCTACCAGGAACGTCGTTTATTGTAATTTTGTGCTTTCCTTTACCTTTATCATTGAGAAATACGAACCTTAACCCAATGCGATTGTGGTAGAGACAGAGCAGTGGGTATTAAGTTTGTTGTAAGTATTAGTTGTTATTTGATTCAGGCAGTAAGATAAACAATTTACCACTGGTTTAAATCAATAAAAAAAATTAAGCAGGTACCTAAGTACTTCCAATTTCCTACTATGTCCCTGGCAGATAGGTACGACCGGTAGATAAGACGGTAGTCGACCTTCTTGGTAAGATGTGAAACCTCCAAATCTAGAATAATATTTCAAGTATTTTTAAGACAGAGAGGTACGAGTTAAATTAATATAGCCTTTATCATAATTTTTCATCCAAAATCATTACGTGATTCTTTACCGAAGTGTTGCCAACACTGACCTACAATAACCCCCAACAGTTAATGAACTACTAAAATTGTAAAAGTAATTTCATCCCCAATTATTATTTACGGCTCGACCTTTGAGGTTGCCCATTCCCTTCGAAGTCAAAGATAAAATATAGCGACTCAACTGAGGTTTTATAAGCGGGTCATCAATTAAAATCAAAAGTGTCCAAATTAACAGCTGACAAGGCGAATTAGGCAGACTCGAGTTGTAATTAAAACCCTGTACCGCTAATAATTCTTAGCGTTTGTGTCGCGTCAGTACGGACAGAATTCATTATTGGTGTGTCATGGTGTTGTGGTTCAATATCCGTCCTAGTTAGGGTCGTCACAGACTGAATATTTTGTTTCTTTAACACGAAAGGTTGATGATTGATAAGATTCATGACTTTAAATAAAAACTTGTAGAAATGCTCAAGCTCGTCAATTGATTTCAATAAGTATAAATACTAATTTCTACTTACCTGAAGAGGATAACAATGTTGGACCAAATAAAAATTTTTCTTTCTTTCTTTCTTTCTTTCTTTCTTTCTTTCTTTGATTTAATATATGGGACTAGACACACAAGTGACCTTGAAAGAATAAGTTAAGTACGTTATTGTTCAAAACTAATGACAAATTAATTGAGATGCAAATGCAGATGAGTGTCAACCATGATGGCCTGCTTAATCGCTTAAACACAGGACACTGATCATTGACTAATATTTAATCAACGATTAAAGCGCCAAGAAGCATAAAATGTTTCTTATCGGCAAATGAAACTACCTAATTAAGCCTGAAATTAATAACCTTACCAAATTATGATTTTCGTTTATTTATGTTTTCCATCTAGCTAGACATCTAACCTAGATACTATAACGGTCTTATTCCTCGATAGGAAATTCAATTTTCCAAAAAGTGTATGTACGTACACTAAAGTCTCTATTATCTAAGTTAAAGAAATCTAAATTAGTTCACTATATGCTTTATTTTTTCACCTTTTACTTGAACTGCAGTCGACGGCCCTACTCCGTGAGTCGTGGGCAGTAATTACTCGCGAGCCGTTCGCCACAATCGAAGAGAATACTGTCAAACTTAATCGATTCGCGCGTCAAACTCGCGCCCGCGGTGTTTAGAGCCGCAGATCCATCACCGCTAACGACTCCGAACTTCCTTGGCACGCGAAAATTTCGCCAGGTACAGTCACGAGCACTAACATGTGTATAAAACTTAATTTAATACGCTGAAATAAATTTTAAATTCGAATGTCAAATTATGAATGTTTTTGCACGCGACTCTACACTTATC